CGAGCCACTGAAGACAATGCAATGAAATTGCGTTGCTCAATGAACGACAATCTGATGCTAATACATGTTGTCTAACCGCATCATTATTCATGCGTTGCTCCCATCATCCGCCGCTGATGCTGCGCAGACAACGGTTATCGAAGACCGAGATTAGTTGGACATGATCTGCTCGGGAAGGTCGGGTTTCACAGCCGTAGAGCACGGACGGCACGTACCGTTGAGCAATACACACCCTATTTGAGCGATTTTATCAATGTTTTTGTCTGGTAAGAGGCAAAATGATGATGATCATTTTAATAGCACCAAAAATGACTGTCTTACCATCAATTATACCATCAAGTGTAAAAGAGCATTGCAAGGTCTGGTTGCTCCCAAAGGGCAATATATCACATTTGTCGTAACATGGCATTACTGACTCAAGATCCAGATGCATCAAGTTTTTCTGAATAGATTTTCATTTTGTGCAGTCAAGCATTCCCGCTGTGCATGCTGCTACATGAAGTCCAACTGGTACAGGAACGTGATTTTTTGAGGGGAAAATTGATGGAAACCACCGGGATTCGAAGACAGATGTTCAATTAGCACTTTACAAGTCTCGTGGGGAAACGTAGACGATAAATCGGTAGGTTAGGTGATGAGAACTAGTTATTTTCCCTGGCATGCAGCCAGGGAGAAGCTTTAGCCTACGTGGATTATGATAAAGTGAACAATATGTGTTACGTATACCACTGGATTAACTTGACCAAAGCAGAAGTTTTCTGAGCTACCGAGAGAGAAGTTGAAAGAAGATGAAAGGTGTGCAGACTATGAGCAAAATCTGTTGAGTGGACTCGTTACCTAGATCGAATAAGACCTAATGATTGAGAACATCATGTGTTTGCATTGTGTTGAAGCTTTAGCGAGTTCTATACAAGCTTTCAACCTTCACAATACTGACGAAAACGGAACAAGGTGGGATAGCACACGTGAGATTTGCGGTACGATTTCCAGTGCATTTTTTCATCCGAATTCCAGTGCTTTAATATTTGTTTTCCATATGCACACCGAGAATATCTTACACCTAATGTTCATTGCTAATCGTCTGTTCACAGATTGCCAAGAGAAGGGAAACAAAATCGAGATGTTGAAGTGACTGTGTATTCTCCGAGATGGAAGTGTTGTTCGCAGACGTTTCGTAGCCACGTTGGTCAACGCCATAATACAATGCAGCCGAGCTGCAATAATTCTACAATACCTATAAATCAAGGTTAATGCTTGTACCGACTGAGCTGAGTGACTTCACTTCAATCTTTATTTGAATGTGTCATTTTTGTACACTAAAGACACCAGACTTTTGATTGAATATAAAGCAAACTAGAGGCGAGCACATTATTCAAACTTGAAAGTAAAATGTATCGAAAAATTCATTATCACATTGGAACGGAAATCTGATACGCAACATGAATGCTCGATTAGAAGCTGCTTTGAGTAAAAGGAAATCAGTCTGTGCCAAAGGAGTTTGAACGTGACTCATTCGAAAAAAACATTTCACCTGAACAACAAAGCCGGCCAATCGGGACACGCCTTTGCCCATCATGTGCTGAGTGATCAAACTTATCGGACCAAATCCGTACGCCTGGTGTTCCGGGAATGCGCCAGAATCCAAAACAGCCAGTGTAGGATCGGTCACAGTAACTACTCCGAACCGATGCATCAAACTGTCCGGTACCTTGAGGGAATTTGTCGGGATGGAATCGTTGGTCAGCGAAAGAATGGGTAGATAACNAGATAACGTTCCAAATGTATCGGGTCGCCCAGTTTTCTCGGCTGACGTTTGCAGTCGATTGGATGCACTCTCCATCCTCCGGACGCTATCAGGAGTCGAAGATGCTCTTGTATATGCAGAACTTAATAAGCAGTATCAAATGGAGTAGGAAAATAGCACAACATCAAATTTTTAGCGATCAATGGAGGCAGAAATACAAGGCTAAAGAAGGAATCACAACATCAAAAGAATATTGACCGATTTCGACACAGTCAAGTGATTATATACCCCAAAATTTAGTTCTGGTGAAAACTGCTAATGTCACAACCTGTGTCCGGATAGTCAATGTGCAAATTACATCTGCCCCGTAGCCCGCTATTGGGTCACTGATCTCAACTTTTCGCGACCGGACACAGCGTTATCTGGGGACAGTGCTCGAACAATGCTACTCACACAAGCATTATTTTTTAGGTACACACAAATCTCGGTCACACCAGTCCAAGTGTTCTGAGCACAACCTCCGGATTAGCTGTAGGAGCAAAGCATTACAGGGAGACACAGCAAAAGGTATCTTTCTAATACAAGACTCGAGTTCAGATCAATTTAATTTCTACAAACATAAAACATGAATTTTCATTCGCGGGTTTTGGTTGCTGTCTTTTAGTCGCCCATTTGGATTGAGAGCAGAGTGCGGATTGGAATGTTGAGGGACAAATTCAAGCGGAAGACAGAGGATTCATATAGACTGGGGTTGTGAGACTAATGAGTAGATGCATGATGTTTGCGATACCCAGTCATATCAACCAGGATAAACAGCGCTGACTGGGGATGTAGTAGAGAAAGTAGACAAATTTTTCTATCTGGGCAGCTATATCTCACCTGGCGGACGTATCACAGATGAAGTGTCGGCACGCATACAAAAGGCTCGACTGACATATGCCAACTTGGGGACCCCGAGATCATGGTCACCGATAGTTAGAGATACTGAGCAAACAGTGGAGCTCATGCATCTACTCATTATTCTTGTAAATTCAGTCTGTATAAATACGCTATGTGAACTGCTTTCATTCGCTGACTTACAGCGGTTCATCCAACAGGATAGTTGGCTTCTAGTTTTCAATTTTACAACAATTCACTATGCACTTTTGTGCGCCGGTTTCAGTTGTTGTCTTTTAGTCGCCCATTTGGATTATGAGAGCAGAGTGCGGATTGGAATGTGGAGGGACAAATTCAAGCGGAAAACAGAGGAGTCATATAGACTGGGGTTGTGAGACT